TAATTCTATTTTTAATTTTTTTAGAAGCTTTCAAACTGATTTATTTCCCTTATCCTGGCAGTCAGTTTATCTTTAGTACTGTGAATTTTGCTACAATGAACCTAGGAGTAGGTATCTTTTTTTTTGGTAGTTCATGGGGCTTGAACTCTGGGCCTGGGCGCTGTCCCTCAGCTCTTCAGCTCAAGGCTAGCACTCTACCACATGAGCCACAGCACCACTTCCAGCTTTTTCTGCTATATGTGGTGCTGAGGAATTGAACCCAGGGCCTCATGCATGCGAGGCACCACTGAGCCACCTTCCCAGCCCCTGCAGGTATCTTTTTGCAATTCCAATTTCAAATTCTTTGGATATATATCCCAAGGTAAGAGTACGAGAACACATGGTAATTCTATTTTTAATTTTTTTAGAAACTTTCAAACTGATTTCCCTAATGGCTAAAGTAGTATATAAAGGCTCCTTTTTCTCATGCTGTTCCCTCAGGGGTTTTGATGGTTGTTATTCTAGTACTGGGCATTGTTCCTGAGTGTTCCAATTAGAAATGTGTCTCACAAACTCTCCTGCAATGGGCTGGCTCCTGAATAACTAGGATTGAGCCATCAGTGCCTGGCTCATTATTTTTGATAATAGCCAAGCTAAAATGTGTGAAGTGATATTTTTAGTTTGCATTAAAAATGCAAAAGATGTTGAGCATCTTTTCATATCCTTATTGGCTACTTGATTTCTTTTGAGGAGTGTATATTCCATGTTCTTTGCCAGAGTTCCTTTTATATTGAGGGTACTTCCCAGTGGAGGAAGTGGGCCTCTTGCCTTGTTTTACATCGTAGGGGAAATGTTTTCCATATTTTTCCATTGATGATGATGCAATAGTGTGTGTCGTTCCCCCACAAAATCTGTATACATATAGTTCAAGGATTCTCAGATCTATTGTAAAGAGGTGGGCCTAGCAGGAGATTTGGTGTTCTTTTAGGGGTGTGCCTTTGAATGGCATTGTTTTTACATATCATACTCATGAGCTAGACAGCTTTTTTCAACTATGTGTTCTCCACCACAAAAACAAAAAATAAAAACGAGCCAATCAATCATGCTTGTAGAGTCCAAATATTTTGAGAGAGTAATGTAAGCAGTCAGCACAGATGTTAGCTGTGAGGCTTTCAGGCTTGGCCTTCGCTGTGTTGAATAGATTCTGTATATACTTTATATATATTTTTTATCATGAAAGGTTAATATTGACAAATGAGTTTTTTACATCTATTGAGATTCTATGGTTTTGTATTTCATTTTGTATTTCATCCTTTAACTATGGTATCACATTGATTTTTGTATATTAAACTATCACAGACTGAATTCCAGGGATAAATATTACTTGGCTGTGGTGTATAATCCTTTAAAGTGCTTTGAAGTCACTTTAAAGACCTTTGAAGTCACTCGATAACATATTGTCCCAAGAATTTCTGTATTTTTCCTCATTAGAAATTTGAATAAAATTTTCATGTACTCTTTGAATGTGGAATCAGGATGATGCTAGTTTTATAAAATGATTTTGAGAGTGTCTTCCTTTTCTAAGTTTGAGAAGAGTTGGTATTATTTATTCTTTGGTTATTTGGTATCATTTACCCATGAAGCCATCAGACCACAACTTTATTTCCTTGTGTACGGATCCAGTTCTGATTCAGTGACTATATATTTGTGCATGTTGTGCATAGCCATGAGAGTTGGTCACAGGCATACAAACTGCATAAAACTAGGACAAGTGATGTGGTCAGGGCAACCAGTTGCAGGCATCCATGTAGAGACTACACTGAAAACCAGTATCAGGGTGTTCACAATGGAACTAGAAGGAAGCAGGAAGCCTAGACGGGGGTCCATGAAGGTGTTAACACAGTTCCATGGGGAGTCATAAGAGCCAGGGTGGTGACTTTGAGGGCTCTGTCCATCAACTAAATGGATAAACAGAAAGTGGTACGGTTGTACAACAGATTATTATTAAAAAGTAATAAATTATTGAACCATAGAAGATGGACCTTGAAAACATTATGCTAAATAAAATAGGTCACATAGTAATTTCAACTATCTGGAATTCCAGAACAGGCAGAGACTAAGTTGATAAGTGCTTTCCAGAAACACTCATTTATTTGTGGGGTCCATGGTTTGTTTTGGTGTGATGGATATACTAAAAGAATTAACTTTATACTTTTAAGGGGTCTCAATAATGAGATATAATGAGAACTATTTGTTCCTGATTTTTTTCATTGAGTTTAATGTTTGAAGTCAGATTAAGGATTTCCTGATCATCTACTCTAATCAACTATTATAAAAATACTGGAATGTAAAAAAAAAGATCATTTATATGTGAGAAAACCAAGTTCCAAGAAAAATCAATGATAAGGTTATGTAAACAGACACAAATAAGACTTTCAGTATAACGGCATATATTTATTGCTTTGTTGAATTTAACAGTATTTTGCCTAAATTTTATGATTTTTAGAAAAGAAAATACATGAAAAGCCTAACCAATTTTCATATTTAGTCCAATACTATTACCAGATTGATAGGGAATGCAGCATAAGGATGAGGAGATAAACATCTTTTCCCTTCTGTTTCCATCTTAAAATTTTTACGTTTTTAAAGACAATACAAGCATAACTACTCACAGCAATGGCAAAACCTGCCCTTCCCCTGTGGAATGAAAAATAATCAGACATTTATCCAAGATGCTACATGTCTGTGAATTTTTGCCCTTCTGCACAGAGATGCTAACGGATCTTCAGGATATCTTCAGCACTCAAGTTTTGAGTGCTACCTTCTGAGCTCTTGCCATAGCTCATGGAGACATAGGAGCAATGGAGAATTTCTGTGGTAGGACATATTATTTGTTCTTTGCACCTAACAGCAAATTCTAAATGCAAAAAACTTTTTAACCACAGCAAGACATACTGATGTCCCTTAATGTGTCTACTCAATGTTGACCTTCAAAAGCTTATGGAACAAAACATTATCACATACCTACACCAGAGGTTAACTCAGTACTCATCGGGTATTGCTTTTGTCAGTCAGTGTTTTTGGGGGAACTAGAGCAACCAGGAGTGGAGGCTACAATTACAAATACTGTTACATGGTCAATGTAGGTTAGAAAATTCTGGGTTATTGCAATAAATATTTAAGATTAGTGCCAGACTACTAAATAGTAGCAAATGTTTATACCATGATTTATTTTTCCCTTTTTCTTCATTGTTGTTTAGGTGGGGCTAGGGTTTACACCTTGGGGTCTTAATGCTTGCCAGGTAGATGCTCTTAATGCTGAGCCATACATGCAGCCCTGGTTTTGTTTTTTTTTTTTGGCTATTTTTGGGATGACATTTTGCTTCTTGCAAAGGTTTATGGTTAGGCTTCCTAGCTATCTTTCAGAAGGGATGTTTCTTGACCTTTTGGCCTGGGCTGGCCTGGCAGAAATCTCAAGACTCACAAGTAGCTACTAAGTGAATCGCCAGTCACTACAGTACTGTGGTTTCCTCCAGCTTCTTGCATAAGCTAGTCCGATGACTATGGGGACCCTATGTCCTAATTTGCTGGACAATGTTAACTTATAAGCATTGCTCCAACATTAATAGTATCCCTCCTTTCCTTACTTATATGACCAATAAAAAATAATTACAACTAGTTGAGCACCAGTGGGCTCATGCTTATAATCCTAGCCACTAAAGGAGGCTGAGATCCAGAAGAACTCAGTTTTAAGTCAGTCTGGTAGAAAAGTCCAAGACTCCATCTCCAAAGTAGCCAGTAAAAAATATGGCTGGAGGCATGGCTTAAGTGGTAGATCAACAGCTGAATGGCAAGGTAACTGAACATAAGGCCCTGAGTTCAAACTCTGGTATCATCAAATAAGAGTGACATTTATATTCCTACAACAATCTTATATCACTGTGGTTTTGGTTCATAGAACTCAGTTTGTTTTACTTCATTTTCTTCATTTGATATCTGGGAAAAGTAAAGACCATGAAGTTCAAGAGACTAAATTAAAATAAAAGTAAAACCTAGGACTCCTAGAGCTTCTATCTCTGATATCCTTTTTTGATCTAACAAATATATATGTATATATTTTCTTCTCAATTTTTTTCTCAACATAAAAGCCAACTAGTGTCACATTCCAATTTCATTGCAATAAAGCAATAAAGTGTAAGTAATGCTCTTTTGTGTTTTGAAATCATAATTGTGGAATAATGGAGTCAATGAGAAAACATTTTAAAGAGAACTCTAAGCTTGAGATCCCTTTTCGTAAATTCATTAGAGTTTCTGATACTTTCCGTGTGTCTCTTGCTTAAAAGGTGTTTGTTGGGGTCAAGGATGAGTACCTAATTTTTTAACCAGCCAAAAGATTTTTGAGTGCCTCTTAAAAAGCACCTTGCTATGTTATTTTATTCTTTGTGGTTCCAAAGGTCCTCTTTAAAAAATGTTGGGTTTTGATTATTTGTGTGTGTGTGTGTGTGTGTGTGTGTGTGTGTGTTGCTATGTTATTTTATTCTTTGTGGTTCCAAAGGTCCTCTTTAAAAAATGTTGTTGGGTTTTGATTATTTGTGTGTGTGTGTGTGTGTGTGTGTGTGTGTGTGTATTTGGTGGCTGGCCTCAAACTGTGCTTCTTCCACCTCTACCTCCTGAACAGGTAGAATTATGGTCAAGTTCCATCATGCTCTACTTTGTTTTTGAGACTGTCTTTCAATAGCTTTGCCTGGGTGACCTCAAACAATGATCCCAGCAAATCCTTCCAAGTGTCCTTTAAAGTGAGAGTGCTATTGGCTTGGGGCATAACTATGAAAATGCCAGTGAGGGAAAATTTCAATAAAATTCTTCATTCTTTTTGAGTTTCTGCTCACTTACTAGCAAGGATTAGTTTCCAATTTTGTTTGCATGAAAATCTATGAAGAAGAATTATTTATTCATATTTTGGATCATATATGGCCATTGCTTTTCATAGCTAATGGTTAGATATTTAGAATAACTTAGCAGTCCTTCCAGAGGAGGAGGAGTGAGTGATTAGATGAACTTGAAAAAGAAAGCTATTTTTATGGGTATAAAATTGCTTTTCTGAGAAAGAAAAGTGAATAGTATTAAACAGGGTTTCAACTTGTGAGATTCATTTCTACAAAGTATGTCCTTTTGCATATTATCTAGAAAGGTGAGTTCATATTAATTCTTTCCCATACAAGATAATCAGCCCAGCAGATGAAAGGAAAATTACAAGGTGATAAAGGCAGAACATTTCTGGAGAGGATTTGTCTCTTATCAGTAGCTGGTGGTGTCAGATGCAGGCTGTGGAGAATCCTTGCCAAAGACTGCAAGCTGGGATGTGCTGCCGAGGTGTGACATCTAGACACAGCACAATCTTCTGTCATAACAAGACTTGCCTAAGCTAATTTACCACCGGAAGTATGTACTTGATTCAAGTCTAACAACTCAGTGAACCACCTGTTTTTAAAGAAAGGAGTACAGATTTTGATCACATGAAACTTTTCATTAAGAGGCTAACATGGACACTCATACAGTTTATGGTGGGCGGTCTCAGAAGCTTTCTTGTGTATGAGAAACGGAGCTACAGGCCTTTTTGTATAAGTTCCTGTACATCTTGTCCATGCTGTTCTCAAACATGGGTCGGTGGGATTTTCCCTTGTAAGAAGCTGCCCTGTTGGACCAGTACTCGCTGTCATCTAAATGGAGATTGCCACGTGGCCGCTGAAACGAGCTATGGAAAAGGGCAAGAAAGGATTAGAACACTTCTTTTACAAAGGGAGAGAGATTATTATTTAGCAGCATACGGTGGGATGGAAACTAAATGGTCTTTCAATATGACTGTACTAGTAAAATTTTTGTGCTATGGGAGCTGTTGGACTAAGGGATGGAAGCAGCAAGTTGCCATAGACTCCCATTGTTCTGAGTGTTTCTAGCTGAATGCTTCTCAATTTGTTATAGGTCTTTTGTCAAAACCCACATTTCTAATGGGCCACTAATGGCTCACACCTGTAATCTTAGCTACTCAGGAGACTGAGATTTGAGGATCAAATTTCAAAGCCAGCCCAGTCAAGAAGTCCATGAGACTTTCCAATTAACCACCAAAATCTCCAATTAAGTACCCCCAAAAAAGGCAGAAGTGGGGCTGTGGCTCAAGTGGTAGAATGCTAGCCTTGATCAAAATAGCTCAGGACAGACAAACCGACAATTCTGAAATTGATAATAATGTCCAGTTTTGCTATTTCTTTAGGGAGATGGGATTTTCTGGGCTCCCATGTCAGTGGGAGTCTGATTCCCGCTTGGACTTCCACTGATGGGAACCTCAAGGCTCTCAACATGAAAGTGACATCTTTGCCTGTATATCATAGGAATTAAGGATAAAACTAAAATAATGTAACTGATTTTAGCAGCTTTTGCAGCTAATGTATTAAAAAGAACTTTTAGAAAGAGGTTTTCTGAAGGACTGACAAACCATCCTATTCATCCAAGTATGCACACAAGAGAAATAGCAAGGGTTATAATTACTAAAAAGTGCAAACAGAACTTTTCTGGTACTCTGCTTTACTCTCTTATTACAGAGACCTAAGGGATCCAAAGGCTCAGTCATTAACATTGCTTGGTGAACTGGAAAAAGAATCAGTGTTGTGGTTTATAGCAAACTTTAACTCAAAAGCAGTGCTTTGCAAAATGTGGTCCTCATACTACTTGTATTATAATCATCCATGGCATTTCTTCAATGAAGACTTTTAGCTCTCAGAATACATGGGGACAGGAGTAGAATGCAGAATGTAACCCAGGTAATGAGGTAGCCAAAAATTTGAAAATCAGAGCCTTTCCAGTATAAACCCTATTTCTACTCCTCACTTCCCAGTCAGAATTAACTATATAGGTTAAGTACTTAAAAGCAGGATGATGAATAGAGCTTTAAGAAAGAACAATAAAAATTAAAAACAATCTGTAAGATGTGTGCTTTCTGAACTTTCCTCTTCCTCTTTGGATTTTCTCCTTCAAATACATCTGCAATGCATACAACTTTGGTTTTTGTTTATCTGTTGTTTGTAGTGATTGGGATCATCCCAGGGCTTCACACATGCTAAGTAAGTGCTCTACCAACTGAGCAGGTAGAACAACTTTTGAAAAGGACATCACACTCACATTTATGCTCTTGGGCATGTAGTAAAGTCCCTACATAATCATAGATGAGACTCATTTCCAAGTGCCCACTAAGAAACTGGAACTGGACGTGTGAGTCAAGAGGCAGAGTGCCAGTGCCCAGTGCTAGTGTTGAAATGTTGGGAGAATATAATGCATTCTATGTTCCATTATTTGGAATTCTTGTATCTGTTCCTCAGGAATCTCAGGAAGGTAATAATAATCAGTGGTATAGCAGCAAGGATTCAGGGAAGCTTTGACTCATGATTTGCTGTTTTAAGTCTGAACTTTATGGCTATTGACAGTTTTCAAAATGGAATTTGCTAGTATAATCATGCAAAAATATTATACTAACATTCCTGAAATTTGAGCTAGAAAAGAATTTTCTTACATATTGACAAATAATATTGACAAATAAACTTGTCAGTAAAAACGTCTCACAAATTCAGAAGAAAAAGCAGCTAGTGATTTTTGTGTCGATGGTGGGGAAGGTCATTACACACAGTAACCAAACACATACCTATACTCAGGGTCACTGTCGTAGGCAGAGTCTCTGTATAAAAGACCTCTTTTCAGTTCCAGTTCTTCATCTTTCTCTGGGTCTCGCTCATCCTGAAAAATTTTAAAGACATAGGCCATTCATTTTCTCATTGCTTTTGACATGATGCTTCTGCTTCTTTGGGAAATATTCTTCATTTTAGGAAATTGTGTTAAATACTTAGGAAATTTCTTAGGAAGTAGAATTATCCCTTTGAATGAAACTAATTTCATTATATACACTTCTTCATCAACGCATGAATGAAAATCATACCATGTCAAGATGTGTTAAATTATGTGGATTCAAACATGTACTTATAACTACAAAGGCAATAACTTAGGTTTGTTCATCACAAAGTAACATGCAATAATAAGGCAAGTCAGTTGACATGAAGACACATTGCATTCCTTCTTTAGTGGGCAACATGTTTTAACTTCTACTAGACATATACAAGGTTGTAAGAAACAGGATTCCTGTTAGTAAAAGCATCAGAAGTCTGCTTAGACAATATTAGTGGTGTTGACATTCCTAAGAAGAGATAACCTCAAGAGGAGAGCTAATGGTCTATAGCTGGCTTTTTCCTTGTGGATGCTGAGAGCACAGAACAAATGTCAAGAATATCAGTGCTTTGTTCAACCACAAGTCCAAAGCAGCAAGGTTCTGGCAGTCTCATGATACTAGGCAAAAAAATTGAAGATCTAAGAGGTCAGACTCCAGTGGTACATGATGGGTGCAAATTGAGCTAACTTCCATCAAGATTGGGGGTGAGTGGGAGAGGCAAGGGAGGAGGTGTGGAGGTGGGGAGGAAAGAGATGGTAGGGGAAATATAAAGGAGGATGTAACAATGCTCGAGAGGAAATGGACTATCTTCTCATGCAACTGAAACCCCTCTGTACAGTACAGTATCTTTACAGTAGACTATATATATATATATATTAACATTAAAAAACTAAGATTCACATAGAATGTCTGCAATTGCAGAGAGGCAACAATGGCTAACTTGAAAGCCTCTGTAAGACAGGAGAATGCTTTATGTATTCTTGCCTGAGATGGTAAGTAATGTATACCATGCCAGCAAGGACCTGGAATCACAGTAAAACTAGGTTAAACACATGATGAGCTAAAACGAATAACTCAATAGTGTTCTGAAGGTTTCACTTTGGAGTACATATTTAAATATGGGATATGGAGAGCGCTCCTGTGCAGACAAACTTTTTACCATCTTTTCTTAATGTTACATCTTATATAAATGATACATTAACATGGGTAACTAACATTATGTTAGTTCACAATTTTATTTTCTACTCTTTCCAATAATTTACTTTTCAGAACATGTTGTATTTAGTCTACATTTCTCCTAATCTCCTCTTATCTGTGACAAATTCCTCAGTCCTTGTTACTTATAGTCTTGAGAACTTTTTAATTTAATAATTTTTATTAATGTATCTTAATTGTATAGAGGATTTCACTGCATATAATCTACTTTGATCAAATCCACTCGCTTTGATCAAATCCATTCCCTCTGCCCCGCATGTTGCCTTCCTTTTTAGTTGATCTCACTCTATTTTCATACACACATACAAAGTACTTTGATTATAGCCACCCATCTCCTCTCCATTTTTAAATGGTTAAATTTTAGAGCTTCTTATACATTCTGGATATTAATCCTTTCCCTGCTGAATTTCTGGCAAATATTTTCAATCATTTTATAGATTACGTTTTACTCTTTTTTTTATTGTGAAAATACAGATGGGCTATAAGTATATGGGCAAGATAATGAGTACATTTCTTATCAAGCATTGTTGCCTCCTCTGTTTCTCCTTCCTATCTTGATGAAATATCATTTGATGTGCAAATGTTTCTTTGGAGTACTTTGAGGTTACATATGAATTTTGGGATTTTATTTATGTAAAGATGACAGATTTTATGAAGATTTCTTTGAATCTGTAGATTTTAGGTATAAATAGTTTTAAAATATTAATTCTGTGACTTGACAAGACTTAACAGCTTTCAATACTCTTTCCTTTTCCTTTATACCTAATCTTTTAACATGCCTTTCAAGTTATTTTCTGGTCTTGCCTTTTTGGAATCCTAAATGACCTTCTATATCTAAATGACCATCTGAAGTTTTCTGCTGTTACTTGAACATATTTTCTATGCCTTTGGTTTATACATCTCTTCTCCATCTTCTACACCCATGATTTGTAAGTTCTGTCTTTTAATAATGGCTCAGAGATTTTGCATGTTCAGATTATCTCTATTTTCATCTAAATGTCCTAATACATCGTGTCTTAAAACTTAATCTGTTTTAAATTTGATACAATCCACTGGAGAGACTTTCAGCCATATAAATATATATAATATATAATAATATTATAAACACACAGGTGGTACTAAAGATTTGAAGTCAGGGCCTTGCACTTGCTATGTTAAGACTGAGCCACACCTCCAGCCTTGTTTTTCTCAGTTCAAGGAATGGCCTGTACAATGATCTGTCACTTTGGGTGGAGGAGGGGACTAGGATCACAGGTTTATGCTACTTTGTGACCTTCTCATGTAGTTTAAGATGTGACAAGTGTGTGCTGCTCTGCTCAGCTATGGATTGAGATCAATTTTTCTGTTCAGGCAGACTTTGAACCAAGTTTCTCTTTTTCTCAACTCAGTTTTTTCATCTGTTTTTGAACTTTTCATTTCCAGAACATTTGTTTACAGAATTGCTATATTTTCATTTTATATAGTATCTTAATTTCATTTAGCTCTTTCCATTCTTGTAGAGTTAATTCAGATACCTATTTTTATTAATCATCTTTATATAACTTTTTTACTTTAAGATTTCATCTACTTCACTATCATTTCTTGAGTTTGGGGAGAATAATGTTGCTTTGGTTTTTCAGTTTTGTGTTTCTGCATTGTACAACAGAGACCAAGTTCTTGGAAATTTTAATCAGTCTTTCAGTTAAAACATTCTCAGTGTTCTAGCAGTATAGTGTTATAGTAGGGGTTGGAGGTACTGGACTAAGGGTCACTCATGTTTAGGACACTTTGGCTTGAATTCCAGCAGTAATCAGAATGAGGAAAATTACCTGGAGTTTCTTACAGCTGGAGGAGGCTACAGAGTGCTTAGACCCTGCCTAGCACTTCATGTCTCCATGGGGTTAGGAAGCTATGGAGATCATATAATTCAGAGTCTGAAGTCAGGTATTTCAGATTAACCTGAAGCCAACATGTGTAGCCAGAATGCAGGATCTAGAGGCTGAATTATGCCAGCCACCTGTTCAGCACTGTTTCTCCTGCAACCCTCAGACATTTAGCTTCACTATTCATCAGACCTCTGACCACTGCACTCATGCTCCTCAACACTTGAAGCTCTCTGCAGGTTTCTTGTCAGACTTTCTACCTCTCCATAAACTCTAACTCAGAGACTATAACAGGATGATCCAAGACTTTCTGAGTCATAACTGACTATTCCTTGTTTTCAAGCCCCAAGATTAAGGCCTTTATACAAGGAAAAGGAAAGAATCTTTCTTGACCAAAGACAGCCTTCCACACCAGCCCAATCACTAGCTCACTTTCACTAGGTATAAGGATTTTGAGAATTGTAGTCTTATCCTAAAGTTAGAATTCTAAGTCTGTCACCAGGGATCTCTGGCTTATGATTTGATCTTTAGGTTTCTCAGGTAATTTTGTTATCCTAATTATAGAAAGCTTTCAAAAGAAAAGTTTAGAAACTAACATATAAATGCCTTTGATGAGCTTGATGTGATTTCAAGACATCTTTTACCCGGTCGTGGATCTCATCACAGTTTGGTGAACACCAATCAGAATGGAATCTGTAGGCATTAAAAACAAGAAATTTATATTAGAGGGAAACATATTATTCCCAAATTTCAGAGACAAGATGTGATTTTTTTTCTTACCCTTGAGTGATTTTTTTCTTACCCTTGTGTGATTTAATGATTAGTTCTTTATAATAAATTTAAATATAGAAGCATTCATTTTAGAATAATCTCCTGCATATGTGAAAGGAAGTTCAACTGCATCTATGCAAATACAATGGGAGACTGTTGTTTATAATCTATGTAAACAAATCTTGGAAATTGGTGGGGGGGGCGGGAGGATTGGGTGGGAGGATGGGGGGAGGATGGGAAGGGATGGGAAGGGGAAACAAAGGAGGCTACAATGCTTGATAAGAAATGTACTCATTATTGCCCATGTAATTGTAATCCCTCTGTACAGTATTTTCATAATAAAAAATTAAAATTAAAAAATAAATAATTTTAAAAAACAAAAAAAAACAAATCTTGGAAATAAGAGATCTACCTATGCAGCTCCAAGTGGAACTCTTCAATATTATTATAGAATCCACTAGTCTGTGCTGTGGTATAAGGAATGTTTATCACTCATTAAATTGATTTATAAAGATAAAAACTAAGCATGATGCAAAAAATATATGAGCTAATTAGGTGTGCCAATGTTTCTTAAGAGTTGTGAAGTCTAATATATTTCAATTCATAAAATATTAATATTTATTCTTCAAAGAAATAGAATTCTGAAACAAAACTAATTAATTTTATGGTATGCTAACTGTATTTTTAAAAAGCTCAAGAAAGCACCTTCACTATAATATTCAATTGCTTATGTCTATTGATAAATGTTTCTTAAAATTTTGTTTATTAATAGACATGACTAAGGAGTTATTTTGCAACAGTATTAGTTTACTTAACTAAAAGAGTTTATCTGCATAAATATTCATTGAAATTAAGTAAATTACTTCTAATTTAGAAAAACTCTTATGGTTATGTTTGCCATATTGCTTCTAGGCAAAACTTACAATTTTGCCTGGTATATAAAATATATATATTTGTGTCAGTTTAAATTGTTTATTGATTCCAGAGGTTATATATAAACACCCTGCAAATATACTACCAATTACCTTGGAAAAAAATTAGAGAATGTCTTGTATTTAAAGATGAGGTACTAAGGATTGAAAAACAAAATGTTTGTTGTATTTAAGTAATGTATTAAAGATATATTTTATAATACACCAAATCTAGATCATTTTATGAAGATGCACACAGATGTTTTACTGTAGTGAAAATTAAAAAATGTGTGTGTGTGCCTGAGAATATATCAATAGAATTTTAGATGATATATTTAAATGAGTTCCAAACTATATTGCCATTATATTCTTTTATTTTAAAAACAACTATGTTGTTTTTCTGTTTATCATTAAAAGCACCCATTTTATTGCATAAATGTGATACTGTGAGTTATCCCCAGCATCGAAATATAAAGAGAATGACTGATTTTAGCTAGATCATAACTTCAACAAAGATTTCTCAAACTGAAAAAGGCAGGAGCCAAACATGGAATGAAATTGTGAACATGCAGCGAGACTAAAATTGAGGATAAAGAATAAAATTGAGGCTACCACTGTAGTATTGTGATGGATTTATAATTGGAAAGGACCTGATCAACAAAAGCCATTCCCTGATTCAAAATCAGGGAATACCAGACTTCAGCAAGAAAGCTCTCATTTTTTTTTTTTTATGGCAGTGGGGAGAGGGGTGGGAAAACAGGGGAAAGGGGAGTTGTGGGAGGAAAGGGAAAAGGTACCAATCCTGGGACTTGAACACAGGGCCTAGGAACTGTCCCACAAGGCCAGCACTTACCACTTGAACTATAGCTCCACTTCCACAGTTTTTGGTAGTTTTAGTAGAGATAATAGTCTCACAAATTTTCCTGTCTGGACTGGCTTCAAACTTGGATCCTCAGATCTCAGCCTTCTGAGTAATTAGGATTACGTGCATGAGCTACCAGCACTCAACCAGTTTTTTTTTTAACTTTGGATGGCTAATATGTTTCATATACATTGAAGGTAAATAGATGAAATCATCTGTTTGTAAAAGAGCGCCTTCAATATAGCAGCCAAACATACTCTTGTTCGTTACCAGTTTTGAGCTGTACTTTTCATATATTCATTATTAATTATGTCCAATGACCCTAATATACTATAGGATTTAATGGCTAACTCTAGATTTTGTATACCATGCAAATATGCTAAATTTTCAGCTTGTAAAAAGTGGGGAAAAAATGAAAATTTCAGTTCTTCAATTCCTATGTACAATTTAAAATAACCTTTTCTATGTTACTGTGATGAGGCAAGGAATTTCCTACTTTGCTTTTGAAAAACTTATATGAAGAGAGATTATTTCATTTATATCCAAATTTTCCAAGTGTCTGGCTTGGGTTGACAAAACACCAGAAAACTGGAAGTAGCTCAAGTGGCAGAGTGTTCACCTTGAGTTAAAGAGCTCAGGGACAGTGCCTATGCCCAGTGTTCAAGCCCCATATCTGCCAAAAAAAAAAGAAATAGAAAAAGAAATAACTGTTGAATAGGCAGATGTTTTCTGTTTCTATTAGACCATTCAAAGGATTAGTGTCAAAACAGACTACCCATTACCTTTCCCTGAGAGAAGCTCTATTTAACATGGGGCTTGGGCAATGCTTTGGCACTGATGAGGGCGCTGAGTGGACTAGTAAGGTCCTCGTTGAATGCTGGGGCTTCATACATGGCCTGGAGCCCAAATAGTCTTCACACCTTTCTAAAGAGTCATCGAAGTCTCTTCCATGGGGTGTCCTGATAACCTGTTTAAAAATATGTATATATGTTTCCATATCTAGATCTATTTACATAGATGTGTATCTACATATCTCTATGGACACACAGTATCTATGTATGCAAAAGGTTTTTTAATAAGAATTGGGTTGGCATAAAGGTGGGTATATATATAAAAAGAACACATATTCATATAAAAAGAACACATATTCATAAAGTAAATGATAGCCTACTTAAGCTTCATTTCATTTGTTCTGGGAATGGACAAATGCAGAAAGATAGAAGAATTACTTTCTCCCCTTGTAGTCTTTATATTCTAGTAAAACGTATACTCAGGCAAGGAGAGACAGACTTAAAGCATATACCTATCAAGATGGTCAAGCACAATGAAAGTACTGCTTTGCCAGCTATTCATTTGATGGTGGACTAATCAAGAATAAGTAATGGTATCAAAGAAGTTATCGATAAACCAATAAGCACTCCAGTCAAAAAATTGACAAATGACCTGGAGACACTTCTGAAACGTACAGATGGACAATAAATACATGGGAAAATGTTCATTATCTTTAGCTACTAAGGAAATGCAAAGTAAAATATATTGAGTTTCTCCCTCACCGTCAAGACTCTCAATAGAAGATGTGGAAGTAAAGGAATCCTTACACACTGTTGTTGGGACTGTAAAGCCACCGTGGAAAACAGTATGGGGTTCTTCCAAACACTAAAAATACAGCTACCTTACAATCCAGCTATACCTTTTCTGGAGATAAGTTTGAAGATACTGAGAGTTATAACATATATATTCTACATAACCTTTATTGCAGTACCTTCCACAAAACAGCAAGCTATGAAATCAGCTTTGGCATACATCAATATATGAATGCACACAGAAAATGTAGTGTGTGTATGTATAATACATGTATGGATGTATTAAAACATACACTAGATAACATTGAATCAGGAAAATTACCTGAACTTTTCAAGTTTTTAATCAGAAATCCTCAGTCAGTGTGGTATTTCTATCATTGCTTATAAAGAAGAGAGCATACTTCAGACAAAGTCTGGGCAAATACCAATATCTAGGTAGGATTTAGTAGCATTGTTATATCTTTTTCAAGGCTAGCACCCATTGAAATATGATACTGCTCTTTAATTTATAATACTGAGATAAAAAGTAAATAAAAAACAAAACAATACTGTGAGTTAAAATTAACCTCTCTTCTTTCTCTTACACGAACACAAACACTGAATAATTAATCCAAATGAATAATCAAATCCACAAAAGACTTGTTCGAAGACATTTTGTTAAAGGACTATTTTGATCCACTTGACATAACAGCCAAAATAATGACATTCCATGAATGTCATTATTATTACTAAATATGATAATCCTCGTGTAGTTGTATATGAGAAATCTATGCTATTGTCTAAAATCCAGGACAATTATGTTTCTGTCATTCATTTGACAAACCTTATAATCCTTGGCACGACAACAGCCAACATGGGAATGGTCTGAAAAAGAAATAAAATATAAATATAAATTAAGGAGAGTAAAGGAGAGTATTTGTTTTTACCTTTGATGTTAGTATCACTGGTGAAATTGCTATTCCTGGCTTATAGAGAGCTGCCTTCTAGCTGATTCCTCATGTATCATGGAGAGATAGCAACACACATACAAGAAAACACAGTGGGAAAGTGGGAGAAAGCGGCAGGAAGAGAGGGTGAAGGAAGGGAGAAAGGGAGTGGGGGGGAGGGAGGAATAGAGAATAGGAGTTCTCTAGTCTTTTCTTACAAGGGCATTTAAGCCCACCACAGTGCATATAAATCTAATCACTAAAGGCCCCATTTTCAACATATCAGTTTGGGGTTAAGGTTTCAACATATATTTATATGATACAATTCAGTCTATAGTAATGTCTTTCAAGTGTGAAAAGAATATAAGAATTATTTGTACTAAGCCTGGCGCTGGTGGCTCACACCTATAATCCTAGCTACTCAGGAGGCTGAGATCTGAGGATCACGGTTCAAAGCCAGCCCGGGCAGGAAAGACCGTGAGACTCTTATCTCCAATAAACCACCAGAAAACCGGAAGTGGCGCTGTAGCTCAAATGGTAGAGTGCTCGCCTTGAGCTGAAGAGCTGAGGGACAGCGCCCAGGCCCAGAGTTCAAGCCCCACAACCGACAAAAAAAAAAAAAAAAAAGAATTATTTGTACTATTACTACTTATGTTAAAAGCTAAAGATAAAAATACATTCATAGAGGTTAAACCCTTGCAACATGTCTTTTTTTGAAATATAAGCATATTATAATTATATGGAAAGTTTATGTTTACTGATTATGTACAAAGGTATTTTATATGGTAATATTTCCATTATTCATTAAGTAATAAACTATCACAGTAGTCAAAATGGCTTTTTCAAGGATGCCACGTTTATAAATAAGTGGTAAAGACAGGATTCAAGTATATGTCTAAATATATGTCCCAAACCCTAACCCAAAGCTCTTCTCACTAGTGTGGTAAAGTGAGAAAGATGTTCCTTAGGCAAGTTTAGAAGATGTCTAGAAACAAAATCAAGTTTTTTGAATAGAAGGTAATACAGTCCTCATTATGTTAAAATTTACTATGAATCTCAAAGAACAGTATGGTTTTTAGCAGGAATCTTTTTTCTTAGCTGGTCCTGGGGCTTGAACTCAGGGCCTGGATGCTGCCCCCGAGATTCCTTTGCTGAAGCCTAACACCCTTATCACTTCAGCTGCAGTGCACTTCCAGCTTTTTCTTAGAGATAAGATTCTCACAGGCTGGCTTTGGACCACAATCCTCAGATGTTAGCCTCCTGAGAAGCTAGGGGGAATTAAGAAAGCACCTATGTGGGTATCCTAAATAAGCTGTAAAAAGCTACACTTCACACCATGTTGTTAATAATGCAGCAAAGATTCTGTTTTCATTTGATCAGTGCCATGTTGAGGCCCTGGCTGCAGTTGAGACAAATAAAATAATGAAGATAACTTCTAGTTTACCATTGTGCATTCTGGCCCATCCATCTCTTTCACAGTCTCTGCCAGAAGATCCAAACACAGCATCAGCCCTGGGACTTGGAGGATCAACCTAAGGGAAGCAGAATTTTGGAAGCAAAAAGAGTTTAACTGTTCGCAGTCTCAGTATCATAGTTCCAGGAAAACTACTAAGGTATATATACTAGTTACTAAACAAAGTAAATTAAAAACCACAATTAGATACCATTCTATATCCACTGAATGAAACAGGACTGGTTTAGAGCACAGAATTAGAACACTTGCCCAGAATGAACGATACCTTGGGTTCAACTCTACTGCCACCAGGAAAAAAAAAACATTCTTTTTAAATTTTAAAAACTCCCTAAAGAGTTGGAATGGTGTGGGACTCCCTTTTCATCAAGAAACTTGGCTGTTTATAAAATCCTACTTTGACATTTTAATATTAATGTCCATTAAAACCTAGATCAACTTTTAGAATTTTGTTTTATGTCCATTGTATAAGAAAGGAAATGGGTTCTTAAGAGGATTCATAATGGAGCTTGATCTCTTCCATATTTTTAAAATTTTCAAGTTAATTTTCTATTTTAGATTGCTGGTTAACAATTCAAGAAAGAAAACTATATAAACTAAAAGCTGAAAGTCACTTTGGAAAAAATTTAATGGCAGAAAAGACAATCCATTTGAAATGGAAATGTTTAAGTGAGCACCTACATGTCTAATCACAAATGGAGGCTTATCTGTTTCTTTTTTGAATTCATATGGTCCCAGATTTAAATGGGCCAGGCGCCGCCTGGTGTCTTCAGATAGCTCACACATGCGTCTTTTTGTGTAGGGAGATGGAGAGTGAGATTTTGAAGAAATTGTAGGCTGTTCGTAGCTTTTTGCATTTATGCAATACTTATTTCTATCAGGTGACTTGGATTTTTTCTTTTGTGATCTTGATGTTCTGCTTTGCAGTCTGCCATGTGATTTTTCAACTGGAGTTGAATGGTAAACAAATTTATCCTAAACATAAAAAATAAAAATTAACTTAGGTAGAAAGCATTTTCAAGGCATCCTACAGTTAGAGAAAAATACAAAGCTATCTAAAGCCAACTATGCCAGTCCCTCCTGTCTGCTGATTCTTGGGGAAGGTCAAATTTGTGTGCTCCTAGACAACTCCTTGTATAATAAGTGGTAGTGAATACAGTTTATAGTAGCAAATTTCCTTCTTAAGTCTTAAAGGGCTTAAGAAAAATAGAAGTCCAATAAACTTAATTATATGGAAAAATTAATGTAAACTTTGGTGATATACATTTTAATTAAATTAATTACATAGTAAGTTATATGAGTAGAATTATAAGGTTTTCTACATGCTATAAATTTTCAACTCAATGACAGACAACCATTTTATATCTGAACCCATGAACCCACAGGGTTTTTGGGTGGTTTTTTTTTTTTTTTGCCAGTTCTGGGGGTTGAACTCAGGGACTGGGCGTGTCCCCGAGTCCCTTTGTGATGAAGGTGAGGGCTCCACCTCTTGAGCCACAGCATCACTTCCAGCTTTTGTTGAGTAGTTTATTGGAGATAAGAGGCTCAGACTTTTCTGTCCCTGCTGGCTTTGAACCATGATCCTCAGATCTCAGCCTCCTGAGTAGCTAGGATTACAGGTGTGAGCCATTGGTGCCTGGCTTGGACCAATGTTTTATTTTATTTTTTTATTTTTTATTTAACTTTATTGTTAAGAGGGGTTACAGTTACATAATACATAAGGCAGTGAGTACATTTCTTGTCGAACATTGTTACCTACCTCCCTCATTTCTCTCCCACTTTTCCTCCCCCCGAAACCCCCACAAGTTGTACAGTTCATGAAGATGAATAAAAGTCATGTCTCTCAGGGCTGGGAAGTTGGCTCGGTGGTAGAGTGCTTGCCTTGCATGCATGAGGCCCTGGCTTTGATTCCTCAGCACCACATAAACAGACAAAATAATCCGGAAGTGGTGCTATGGCTCAAGTGGTATAGCGCTAGCCTCGAGCTGAAGAGCTGAGGGACAGCACCCAGGCCCAGAATTCAGGCCCCACAACTGACAAAAAAAAAAAAAAAGTCATGTCTCTCAAGGCTTTTCTGCCGCTGGCTGGCTTGGAACTGTGATCCTCAGATTTCAGCCTCCTGAGTAGCTAGGATTACAGGCGTGAGCTACTGATACCCAGCTTGGACCCATATTTTTATAAAAAACAAAAATGGGTAAAAGTCATGTTATAAACTTTAACAACTATCTGGTTACCAGTCTAAAGTTTTTAAGATGAAAAAACAAATTTGAGCTGAGTGTGATGGGGTACATGCCTGTAGTCCCACCCAGTTGGGAGCCTAAGGTTGAAGAGTAGCCTGAACAACTTAGTATCTTATCTTAGGCAAAATGAGAAGGAAAATCAATTTAAGAGCTCTAATTTTTGTGTTAATAGTTCCCCCCTCCAAATATACTCTTTCCTATAAATGCCTTACTAGTTGGATTATATGTAAATAATTTAAGATTTCTTCATGTATTGGAATTATAAGAAGCTTTTCAATTAGGAAAAACGGACAGTTGAGAATGTCGTTCAAAAACTTTAGATGTCTTTCTAACTTTTAATCCTTTTAAAAATTATCAATCCTACTTCCTTTGCTAGATTCGCAATTCACCCCCCTCCTCTAAAAAAAAAAATCGAAACAAAAACCAAACATGAATTGAAGGGAGAAGATTCAACATACAGGAATGAAGGCAGGTCTAGTGGCTCCCTGCAGCCCCGGTGGGAACCAAACTGTTTCATCCATCTTTCTTTCTTTCTTCTGCCATCTTTGATGTGATCCTTCCTGGGCCTTGTCCGAATGTCCAATAGCCTCAGGACCTACGGACCTTCCTCTATAGCTTCACCCACCTCTGTGACATCACTTGGGGGTGTCACAGAAGGCAGTGACTCACAGAAGGAGGAAATTCTAGCACTAGGAAGGGTCTTTGAGGCTGCCAAAACACTCAAGCAATGAATCTTTCCAAGACCCCTAGCTGGAATTCTTGATTTCTACTGTATTTTAGAATTCACCACTATCAGACCCATAGTCTCCTTCACTGGGAGGAAAATCTCTTCCTCATCAAAACTTCGAATTCTTTGCCTACTTTTATTTTCATGGAATTTATTACTTTTGCTACCACCTTAGTCCTTATGTTTCTTTCCCCTCGTCCTTCATAGGCTTTTAGTGTCCAGGCCGAAATAATCATTTCAGCAACGTTTAAAGTTCCTTCTTACACACCTATCTCTGACTAAACCGTAAGCAACCAATTCTATCTTCTTTATTAAGAATTTTTACTGTTCTATACTACTACAGGAAGTTATAAACTGAGTATTATCTGCTACAAATGGCAAGCTAATAAAACAAAATAGCGGCCTTTACACTGGTCACAAAATGACTTCCTCTAGTCACATCTAGGATAGTTTCTCTTAGGAAGCCCCAGATGAAATAAAGATCATCAGAAACCATAGGTCTTGTTCTAATGAAAATGTCTGCCAAATGCCAGGCATGAAGTCACCCTAAAGCACTCAGCTTTAACCCCCAATCCAGACCAAAAAACCATCCCCAGTAGATCCAGTGTTACTGTCTTAAGCCACTAAATTAGTGAGGATTATAACAAACTAAAGTCAAGAGTGAGCAGATTAATACACTTATTAAGATGGCATCAATCTTTTAATATTTAATAATTTCACTTTTCAGCAGGTAACTAAATAAGAAAAACTACTTTTCCCCCAAATTATGCTTGTCAGTCCATTAAATGGGTCATGAAACATTCTGAAACTAAAGTACAAGAGAATAAGGATTTTATAATTTTATGAAATATACTTTACTCCTCTAAATCAAAAGCTTTATTCTTTGAAAATGCTGCTTTATATCTATGAAATTTTAATTGTGACTAATATAAACTTGAAAAAACGGGTTTTCACATTCTTAATGAAATAAATGACTATTAACATTCAGAATTTTATTGTAAAAGTGAAATACTCTGTTGTTTCTACTAGGCAGTGTGTTTTTAGCATATATTATATTTGTTTGTTTATATTTTTTGATGCTGGGCTTGGATTCAGGGACTGGGCACTGTCCCTGAACTTTTGTGCTCAAGTCTAGCACACTACCAGTTGAGACAGATCTACTTCTGGCTTTTTGGTTTGGAGTTAAGAGTCTCATGGACTTTCTGCCTGGTCTGGCTGTGAACCATAATACTCAGATCTCAGACTCCTAGCAGCTAGTATTACAGGCATATGTGATCAGCACCCACCCACTCTTACCTTTTATTTTAATTGTTATATTTTATATCTCCAAGTATTATGATTTTTTTAAATAGCCTTAGTTTTAAAAATAGGCTCAAAATTTTAAGCTGTAAATCAATGAATTCTGTGTTATACATGGGCACATCACATATATTCTCTAATTTTCACAACTTATAAGTTTCAAGTCTCTCTGTTTTCAATGCGTATTTTCTACATTTTTTTTTCTTTTGTTTTGTGGTGTGATGGTTATTGAACCCCAAGCCTCATGCAGGCTAGACAAATGCTCTACCACTAAGCTGCATCCCCAGCTATAAAGCATATTTTCTTAAGTATTGTTTGATAGCAAAACTGTTCCCTCACATCCATGTTCAGTAAGGATCAAATGACACATAGGGAAACTTCTAGTCAGAAAGAAAGCAATAGTCTGGCTAAAAGTTTCATTGGAGGGCTGGGAAGGTGGCTCCGTGGTAATGTGCATGCCTTGCATGCATGAGGCCGTGGGCTTGATTCCTCAGCACCACATAAGCAGAAAAAGCTGCAAGTGGCGCTGTGGCTCGAGTGGTAGAGCACCAGCCTTGAGCTGAAGAGCTGAGGGATGATGCCGAGGCCCAGAGTTCAGGCCCCACGACTGACAAAAAAAAAATTTTTTTCAGTGGAAACTGTTTTATTAAATGACGACAACTCTGTACAATGACGTACAAATAATGAAGAAAAGTCAGAATCTAAGCCCAAGTTGTGTTTTTAAAGAGGGAAAGGGTAACAAGTTCAACAAGAAATGTACTCACTACCTTACTGTAACCTCTCTGTACATCACTTTGACAACAAAATTAAAATGTTTTTAAAAAGCAAGTTGTAAATGGTCTCTGGATTTGGGAAGCATCTTGTCAGATTTCTTACAGTTATTTTTAAAAGATAAATAACTAGACTCTGGCTTTGAAACACTAGGTATCTTTCTAAACAAAATGAGAATGTTCTTTCAGTAATTCTATAATGACATTTTACCTTTCTTAGTTTGTCTCAATAACATCCTCAGTAAAATTACTTGAAAAACTAATAACATAGTAAGTTAAGTTATTGCTTACAGGATGGGTATGGGCTGTATAGATCACTGGCTCTTCATCACAGACAGGTCATTGTTACCTGGTCTTGATGTACCTGCTTGTAAATGATGCCAGGCCATTATTAAATTACCTATAGATAAGGTAATGTGTCTATCACAAGACCACCTTGGAAATTAGCAAGAAATTAGAAAAGAACAGTAGATCCAGATAGCTTATTAAAGGTAATTTTCAGAAACACAGAAGGTATTTAGGCTGAGTGTCCAAACTTCCTTTGATTGTATAGGACCAATATGGTGACCAAACTAAGCAACAGTCTCTTAAGAAATCATATACACACAAGAAAACATTGATAACTAGCCTCTCAGACTGGGAACTTGTATCACAGCTGCTAAAAGGCATCCTTTGAAACTTTCTGTGGTAACCTGTAACTTCCATAAGCTGTACAGAAGCCTTAAATCATTTTCAATGAAACTACTTGATCACATCTTTCTGGAAGCCTGGTTCCTTTGTATAAAAAAGTAAATTCATATAAACAAACATGACAAAAAAAACATCATGGCATCCTCTATCATTTCATCTCACATTTATTTAGGTGTAACCAAATGTAAATATTTTGGTTAATGGTTTTACCTGAAGACTGAACAAAAAAGTAAAAAGAACTGCAGCCAGCACAAAAGAATAAAGGCTGCCAAACAGCCACAGACATGAACAAGTAAAATTATTAAATATTTTAAATCATTTTAACCTGAGTGCGGCACTTCCTTGAACTTATCAGACATTCAGTAATAACTGAAGTTGTAGAAAATTCCAGCTTTGGAGCAATTCCCTGGAATTTAAAAAGAAGACAGGATTAGACATTTCAATTTTAAAAGAGGCAATTACTGCCTAAAGTAATCATCTCTTAGCTTGAACTTTTTATTAGAGATAAAGTCAAAATAGTAAAGCTAAATCTTAGCAGGAAACAGTTTCATTGTTGATGATTACATTCAAACAAACTGAAGACTGTTAATCTACAGTACAATCCTCAATGAATTTCAAATTTTTTAACTGTTAGAACCATTTAACTATTTGACCAAAAAAAAATAAAGTGTGCGTGTGTGTATGTGTGTGTGTGTGTGTGAGAGAGAGAGAGAGAGAGAGAGAGGGTGAGTTGTGGCTCAAGTGGTAACTCCTGCCTATTAAGTACAATTTCCTGAGTTTAAAACTTATTTTTTCAAAAGAAAGGAATATGTTAATTAGCTTCATAAAGTCATTTCACTAGCTAGATGATAGATACGTACATTACATAGACACATTGACCATACTGCATCACTATAAACATGAAATATGTATAGTCTAACAAACATAACTCCTCATGCCTCCTGTGTATGCAGTTTTTAAATAGTACACCCTATAGTATAATTCACATTTTCACATTCGAATCTATTAATGCCAACCAATACTCCCTGCCCATAGCTTCTGTTCTACTACAGCAGAAGTCAGACATGACCAACAACCCAACCCCACAAATCTAGCCTGTGAGTAAGTTTAATGTTTAAGATGTTTTATCCATTATAGGATTTGCATAAGGGCTGAAATATTGTTTTCTGCAAACATATGTTTTATTAATATTTACTATGCCTGATTGTTAGACATCTATTACTACAACTAACATATTACTCCATATCTAGCAGTTTAAAATATCAGTTAAAAGAATGGGCATGGTGGTTTATGCTTGTAATTCCAGCTTCTTGGAAGGTGGAGGCAGAAAGACTGTCTATCAAAGCTAACTCAGGTGAAAAAGAGAAAGATCATATATCAGAAAAGAAGCCAGTTCTAGTGGTTCATGTTTGTAATTTCAGCTATGCGGGAGAAACAGGAAGGAGGACTGCTGTCAGAGGCTGCCTGTGGACAAAAAGTGCAATACCCAGTCTGAAAAATAACTAAAGTCTAAAGGCTGAGATATGGCTCAAATGATAAAGTGCTTGCTTACTAAGTGTAAAGCTCTGAGTTCAAAATCCCAGTACAAGGAAATAAAGAAAAAAAATAAAACACTAGAAAACATTTATTATCCCAGAGAGTTTCTATGGTCCAGCAATCTAGCAGAGGTTGAGCTATGGATTTCTAGCTTAGAATTTTTCACAAGATTTTAGTCGAGGCGTAATTTGGTCAACTGAAGGCATGACTGGGGCTTGACATCCTCCTTCTCAAGAAGGTTCATCCCCACTGCAGCTGGCCGGAGACCTCAAGTCCCTTCTTACTTTTTCCAAAAAGACTTACCTACTCATCATAAATGCCTCTCCATAGGACTTTCGGGTGTCGTCATGACATGGTGACAAGTTCCCCAATGTGAGCCTCAAGGCAAAACATGAAAGAAGCTACAGTGATAAAGTCTCAGGAGTCCTGTACTGTTAAATCGATGACATTCTGTCCTGTGGCAGGTAAGCACAGATCACACTCCAGGACACCGGAGCTGGGCTGCCTTTCTAAAGGAGCATTTCCAAAGTATTCGTGTATAAGGTTAAAGTTTAAAGTCTGCCCTCTGGCAACAAATTACTCAAATTCCTCTTCCATGCAAAACATACTTGCCCTCAACCATCAAATAAAAGGAATTGTGAAGAAAGAAAGAAAAAAAATATTGGCAGATTGAATTCCACAATGTCTACATGTAAACCAAATCGTAGCATAGATAGGCTTCCCTCACTCATCCAACAAAAGGAATTGTGAAGAAAGAAAGAAAACATTGGCAGATTGAATTCTACAATGTTTACATGTAAACCAAATCCTAACATAGATAGGCTTTTGGGGTATGTGGGCCAGTACAGCTTCTATTTATATCAAAGAAAAGTTACCTTTGCGGCAAGCAAAGAACAATCACAACAGGCATTCCTGTTTACCAGGGAGGAATGGAAATAACCGGGAATCACTTGGTCTATAAAAATTCTAAAATCCAGAGAAATGTTGGACATTCCTTAACTAGAGCTTGGTCCTATTATTCTCAGAACTATCCATGGTTTTTGGCTTGATGGTGTGGAGTCTTCTTCCATCCTCTAATCATAATTCTTTTGAATTGTGATTATAGATCAACAGGAGCTGTCCAGGGTTCTGAGCTTGGTTCCTGTCAATACAATATCAGGATTCAAAGGTCTTTTTATTTTGTGATGCTTCTCTTCATTTCAGAAAAAACTATCTCTACAACATTTTTGGAGGCATGGTGAGCTTTGCTGGGGTTCCCTCCATTAAAGCAAAGCCACAATCTAATCTATACTGGGGCACACCTTTCTCAGTAGGATTCTTCTGAGAGTCCTGAGAGATATGCCCAGTAGCAAACCTACATTTTCCAAGCAATATGAAGTTTTAATGAAGAATTTTACAGTTGCAGCTTCAGCTTCATCAGACCAAAGTTTTCTGCAAGTGGACTAGAATGTGATTTTCTCAGCAGTTATTTCTTAATTTCAGCAATGTCTGCCAGCAAGAAAAGCTAGGAATCATGTGAAATACTAAGATCCTTTACCTTTTCTGTTCTATAAGCAGCACAAGGTTACAGACTTCTTTAGCACTGTTTGAAAGCCTCTATTTACTGCTTCCACATTCCTGCAGGTGACTGTGATGTTATACTTGCTGCCATTACACAGCAAAGATTCCCTTTCTGGCTAGCTTCCAATAACCTCCACCTCACTTTTCCACAAATGGATATCTGACAGCTTCTTCAAGGATTTCAAGGTTTAACAAACATCCTAACAAAGTCCTTCCAGCTTCTGCCCTCTCCAGAGAGTTCTTCAGTGTCCTCACACAGAAAGCTGATTTCTGCTGAAAAAAGGGATGTAAGAGACACTAAGAAAGGGAGGTGCCAATATTTTCAACAACCTGGTTTCAAAAGTCCACTACTATTGATCTATTATGTTACATTTATCTGCCATGACTAACAGGAACGAAACTAGTTTTGTTCTTGGAAGAGATAGATATCAAAGAATTTCTGGACATGTAGGCATAAGGATATGTCTCAAGAAATGAGCCATTATGTGATTCCATTATAGTGTAAACCTGTGTGTGTGTGTGTGTGTGTGTTTACAAACCTGGACCGTATGGCCTATTTACACTTATATATGGCCTCGCCACCAGTGTGTATGCAGTCCATCACTGACCAAAATGCCATGATTAAGTACATAGTTGCATTGGATATGATTTCTATCAAACTATGGTATCATCTTAACCTTCCCCATACATTGCTGGTCACATATAAGTACTCAATATGCTAGCATTATTTTTACTAACCTTTCAGAAACTAGTTACATCTCCAAAGAAATACAACTAATAGGACTATATGCATACATGCATCAATTTTTGTTTTAATTAATTACTTCACATAGTTGTGGGAGATGGCAAATCTGAAATTTTTAAGGGAAGGATAGAAGGGCAGAAACTGTGAAAAAGTTGATAGCAATATTGAGTGTGAAATGTGTAGGGCAGGTTGGCAAATCAGAAACAGGATTTCTGTTATCCTCCTGGAGTATAATCCCTCCTTATTCACAGAAGCATTGTTTTTGCTCTTCAAGTCATCTGATAAGAAGCCTATTCACATTGTCACAAATAATGCTGTATTTAAAGCCAATTGATTATAAATCTTAATCAAATCTACCAAAGAGCTTTATAGTAATGTTTAGACTAATATTTAGTCAAACAATTGTGCCATGTTCTAGCCAAATTGATACATAAATGAATTATCACCTTAAATGTCAGTTCCTCTATGAATTCTACAGTAAGAGGCATATCATTCATTCAGTTTAACTAGGAGGTATTTATTAAGTACTGCTCCTTGCTAAGTATTATGCTAAGGATTAAGATCCAAAAGTGAGAAGGCAACAAATTCTGCTTTTATGAACTTTTCAGTGTAGGGAGACCTATCATTATTATTCCCACCATCCCATCACCACTACCACCATGACATCCACAGGTTTATGATCTTCTTTATGTGTCAGGTACTGCTATAACTACATACAAGGTAATATTAATTACCCAAGAATCCTGTGATAATCAACAGTTACCATGCCTTGCCCAACATTACTCAGTAAATTCATGATAGTGCCAGGAATTGATCCCTGATATACTCTGAACCCCTGACACAGAGGTGGGCTCAGGACAGCCTAGGACTCACAGCTGATAACTCAGAATCACAAAAATTCTGAAGACTACATTTTTGTCTGCTGGACCACAGACTATTTACTAGACTATTTCCCACTTATATGTAAATATAAGTATTGATATGGCTGAATTTAATCTGCCATTTTTCTATTCAGTTTACAAATGTTCCACATCTTTATTATTCTTTGATTCTTTCTAGGGGTACATGTGTATATGCATAGCTAAGAAGTGATCTAATGGACTGGTAAGAGTTCCACATATTCTGTGTGTGGGGTAGGGATTACATTCAAAGCTACAGTCAGTTTCCCTGGGATTTCATTTATTTGCTGGGATCTGACTGTCTCCCCTGAGCATGGAGTTTCCTGGGCAGCCAGGAAGGGGTGGAGAGCTTATCTAAATCCTTACTGCGTCCTGCCTCCAGGATCTCCCATCAACTTCCTGGCAGGTGTGCTGTTCACCCCAATTAGTACTGAAAGTGACCTAGCAAAGCTGTGGGGTTTCTTCATCTGCTTCCAGCTGAATATGCCAGGTTTACCTGCCAAACCATACAATATACCCCATTGCCTAAATTGAGAGTCTAACCCCTCTGGAAGTAAAGCTGCTGGGTTTGTGCCCAGCCACAGGCAGATGAAGCTATACTCGTCATTGAGCAAATAGGGTACAGGTTGCTTGCCTGAGCAAGCACCTCAGGCAAGAAAGCCACAAATTCCTGCCAAGTTTACCTTGCACTTTAGCAATTTTTCAAGCATGAAAACTCCATTTGTCTTGTCCCACTTGATGGTCAATATTTAGTGCCCTTAAATTGTTTTTAACAATTTTATCCAGTTGTATACTTGTTGAATGTGCAGGAAATCTTCATAGTACCATTATTACAAGTCAAAATTTTTTCATATAAGTTTGGCCTTAATAATCCAATATCTTCCAAATATATACAAAAGTCCATGCTTGAGTTTACATTGCATCTCAGTATAATATAGCATTTTAAGTGATCATACATTTAAAATTTGATTCATTTTTCATTCTAGGTTACCATATGGACCTCGAAATAATCTTTGAAGAAATTTATAGCACCAAAGCTGGCTAATGTATACCAAAAATATTCCAAAGGAGAAAACATTTCAGAGAATTACTAATTAGTCAACTTTTTTATGCTTTTGATTAGGTGAAGTTGCTATTTCTTTGAGCAGAGACTATCATAAATCTAGACCTATAGGTGAAATTCTTTCATCTACTACATTGGTTCCTGCTCCTTATTCACATTATTCTAAGATTTATATAGTTAGTTTAAAAAAATGTTTGTCCAAATAAGTTCAAGCTAGTCAACATTTACTTTTCCTTCTCTGAAATACCATGGGCTTCTCTCAGCTTTCCTCAGTGAAGATTAACTTTCAGGGATGATGAGTTTTGTTTAAAAAAAATGGGCACACAGAAGTTAAAAGAAGAGGTAGGAAAAGATAGGAGAATGAACTGTCCCTTAACACAGCTCTTAATTTAGGTATATGAGTGTGTGTGTGTGTGTGTGTGTGTGTGTGTGTGTGTGTGTGTGTGTGTGTGTGTGTGTGTTATATGTTGGATTTTGGGGTTTTTTTTGACAGTACAGGGTACTTACCTAAGAGCCTCTCACTTGCTAGTCAGGCACTCTATCACTTGAGCAACACTTCCAGTCTTGTTTGTAACTGGTTATATTTCAAGGTAGGTCTCACTTTATGCCCAACTTTATGCCCAAGCAGGCCTGGTCTAAGATTCTACTATATGTGCTTCCCAGTATGGCTGGGGATGACAGGCAAGGGTACCCAGCCATTATGCTTTCCCTGTACCTAGGATAACAAACCCATGCTGCTGTGCCCGGCCTTTGAGTAAGATGGAGTCTCATGTATTTTTATGACTAGGCTGGCCTTGAACCTCAGCTTTCCCAATCTCCACCTCCCAAGTGGCTTGAGCCACTTGCTATATATGTCTGTTCTATAAATATTTTCCAATTTATCTATCCTATTTTGTATTAACTGGCACTCCAAACATTTTCATGTTTCATTATTATTAACAATACTATCAGACATGCACCAATGACTCACTCCTGTAATCTTCAGGAGGCTTGGATTACAGTTTGAAGCCAATCTAGGCAAGAAAGTCCATGAGATTCTCACCTCCAATTAACTATCAAAAATCTAGAAGTAGAGTTGTGGTCCAAAGGGTAGACTGATAGCCTTGAGCAAAAAAAAAACCCTCAGAAATAGCACCCAGGTCCTAGGTTCAAGCCTAGCACAAAGCAAAAAGCAAAGCAACAACAAAAAGACAATACTATTTTTAAAAACATAAAAACTTCTAGTATACCAAAGAGAATATCTAGACCATCTGCTATAAAACTGTTAACAAAAAATCTGAGTTTTGATTGTTATAATTTACATAGCATACCAATACAACAAAATTTCCTTTATTTTATACTTCTAATATCAAGTTTATTTAATTTTGTTGATCAATCTTAGGGATATAAAATAAAATCTGATGATTGCTCTAAGCTGGATTTTCTAAACCTATTGAGACTATCATTCAAATGTTTGGTGGTCAATTCTTATATACATAGAGAAAAGAAAGAGAAGTAGTTGGGATAGAGATGGAGAGGAGAAAAGAGACAACAAGTATGAGACAATGCAACTATGAAAATGGAATAAGTATTGGAGTGTAGGAGAGTGCAAACATGTGTGATATAAAAATGAAATCCCACCTCACTGTATAACTGATATTAACCAAGAGAAAAGACCAAAGTCAATGTAATACTTGTTAGTTTTGGATACAATCCATGAAAATTATTAAGTATTTTTCATTACATTTCATTACATTTAAGTTTTAAACCAAGTTAAACTTGTACTGAGTTTGTCAAATTGATGATGTTGAAGGCTATATCTGGTTGTTATGACAGTGACTCTGTACCTAATACTGAATGAAGACAGTTAATACTTACTCTTAGGCCAGAAATCCTCCTCATGGTCACCTGGCGATTTGAATCATGGTGTCCAGATATTTGGTTTGGACCCGGGAACATAAAATCTCGCGTATTTTCATCATAGGTAGACAGTGTTTCACCCACTATAAGAAAGATATCCTATGATTCAAATTATAACAAAATGTTCTATTTAGAAACAAAATCACCAAGTATAATGTATATATATTGCCTGATGCCTTATTTGAAAACCTGCTTCAGGAGCATGTTTATCTTCTATGAAAGGAAAATTAAAATATGTATATATTTAATATGATAACACATTTTCATTTTCACATATATGCTACATATTAGTCACTCTACCTGTCCCCTGCATTTAGAGAATGAGGATACTCATGGAAACTTAGTAAATACTATGAGTTCCAAGGGAAAAAGTAACTTTTTAAAAAATAAAGACATTTTTGTAAAGATATAAACATTTACATATCTAAATTCCCATCATTATGCTTTTTCTATCTCTCATTTTTCCTGTGTCACTATAAAATAAATATAAAATCATGTGTTAAAAATAGAGATATTTTCAAATAAAAAATAGAGATATTTTCTAAAATATGTGGCTAACTGAATTATAAAGACATATAATATTCACATGGTCCAGTTGCTAGCATTTAGTAAACTATGTTTCCAACTGTCACATAAAATAAGGATTTGATTAGGGCAAATTTTTTTCTATAATCACAAAAATGAGTGGAAATAAAACCACCCACTATATTTTAATGACCTAACTCCCTCCTACCGAAATCTGAGGTGTTTACCACATAAGTAAGAAGTTCTGTTGTCCTCCACTCCCACTCCACTCAAAAATAGGTTATTACCTGCTTTATCAATAAAAATATATCATTTAAGAAAAATTTCAAAAACTGAAAACCATTTTATGGCTGTCACAAATATATGAAAATGGTAGCAGGTTATTTTCCACTTTCAACTACTACTATTAATTCAATGTGTTCAAGAAAGATATGTTCAAATGTCATTTATGTCAATCATTTAGTATATATTATTTTGGTCTACTGACATTTGATGGATGATGAAGAGCATTTTTCTAATTCATGCTTAAAAATGGTCTAAACTTGCTCCCTCTTAAAGTGATATCCCAGGTCTGTTACTTTATCAACATGTAATACAGTACCTGGTGGAACTAGCTGTATCAACTCAAATACTGCTGTGTCATCTGAAAAGTGAAAGAAAAATTAATGACAAATAACAATGTTACTTTAAAAGTCAAATCACTGTGTATTATCTATGTGCATGGCTGTACCTTAGTAATTACATATTTCTATAAATATATATTATGCCTATTTCCTAATCAAAGTGGTAAGTACTGCTGGGTATAATACAAATGTTTTATAAAACATAATATATCATGCATTACTAATACATATATTATCATGTATAATATATTAATATATCATGTCATCATATATTATGTTATTAATATGTCACATTATTAGTAATACATTTTAATTTATATTTTATAATATATAAATTTTTAAAATAACAGTTTGCAATATTTTGTAATAAAGGTATAATAATAAAAATAAATTATGCCCTCTCTATTTTCTAAAACCCATGTAAAAACTGAGGTTTTCTGGCCTTGGGAAGATAAGGAAGGGATATCTGGATATAAATGTCAATAGACTGATGAACTGGCTAGGTTATAGTTTTGGTTCACTGATAATAAATCCTAAGAATAAAGGGTAAAATAAAACAATAGATAACCATTTGTAAATTAAGCCCAAATTTAGATATCTCAAATTCTGTTTGAATTTAGGTAATTCAAAATTCCCAATGTGCCCTAGCAACCTGCTAAAACAATGACAAACCCATCTGAAGGAAAACATGACTTCACACATACAACTTCGATCTACTCTGAATTTGTCTTTCAATCAAAACCGAGTATACAGGGAAATTGATAATTAGGAATAAAAAACCCTGAAAAATAACAGGAACTAGAAGCAGCAACAGAAGAAAATTTTAATATTAAAATCTGATTAAGGACCTTACAGGAAAGGAAAATGACCATCTATTTAGTAAACATAAATTCCTAAACTATATATTTTCAAATCACATCCATCAATATAGAAATAATACTTAATGTTTTAAAAAACCAAGCTGCATGCTGGGTACAAGTGTCTCCTGCCTTTAATCCTAGTACTCAGGAGACTGAGTAGGAAGGAAAGTCCATGAAACTCCCATCTTCACTTAACTGCCAAAAGGCTGGAAGCAGAGCTGTGGCTCAAGTGGTAGAACATTAGCCTCAACAAGTAGAAAAGGTCAAAAGCTATGTACATATGACCAGATAAGATGACGTTAAGTGAAATGAACTCCAAGATAGGGACACAAATGGTTTTGTCTTTCTTGCAATTGTTTTTAATGTATTAATAATGTACTATGTGATTTTTTTTTGTTTCTTTGGTATGTTCCTGCCCCACAGTATAACCCTTGTTTTCACTGTATTTGATTCCGGTGCCCTGCATCTTGTATATACATTTTTCTGTATTGAGGAGGGGAAGGGAAAAAACAAAATGCTTAAATGGGATAAAGGTGGACCCATTGTAACAATGAGATGTACAAGTAGCTGGGGAGGTGGGGAAGGAAGGGATGGTGGGGAAAAAACAAAGGAGGAGGCAACAATACTTGATAGGAAATGTACTCATTACTTTACTCATGTAACTGTAACCCCTCTGTACGGTATTTTCACAATAAAAACTTATTTAAAAAAAAAGAAAATACCTGAGCTTTCATTAAATCAAATTAAGTATAAGCAGCTAAGACAGCTCAGTTGTATGACTGAAGAAATTAAGTGAATTAAACATAATCTTAGAATAAGCTCAATGTCTTAAGTTTTCCATACATATTACACTGTATTTTCCTGGTGCTTATTTTGAAATCTTGGTTAGTGGAAAACCATGACTAAAAGGAGAAAGTGTTTTTTTAAAAGGATATGCATTACTTACTACCATTTAACTGTATCATCTGCAGTTGAGATTGAGCTTCTATGAGCTTCACACAAATCCTCAAAACATTCCTAGCTTTTACCTTACAGATAAGAAACGTAGTCTAAAGGGTAATGTTACCCAAAAATGATAACTTGGTGAGATAAGGTATAACTGCGTCCAAATCCTAAGCTATTTTCACTAACAACTCTACTGGAACTAGAAAGCAGTGATTTGTAAAATAAAGGGAAGATGTGGAAGCTTCCCTTTAAGATAGTGGTAGGGGCAGTGATGAAAACAGTATTTCTACAATAGGAACATCGAACATCTGGCATGCTATAAACAAGTAGCAATAAGGGACACTAAAGAATCTGTACATCATGGGCATGGTTCTGAGGTGCATAAAGAGCACAGTAGGCAGAATATGGACACCCCATCCTCTAAGACACAGAAGAAAGGTAAAGATGGACAACTACTTGGTGACTTTTAAAATAAAGTGAAGTAATGCTCACCACTAAGCCTTCAGTGAATCAGTGAGGCAAAGTGTCCCTTCATTTCAGGACTGCAGTAGTTTAATTTAAACAAGGGGACATCTGCTATAAAAAAATGAATGATGTGTTCAGAATACCAATTTTAGAAATTAGACAGAAAGTGCTCAAAGATATAAAAAGACCAAAAAAGCAATTGTGATGACACCAATTTCCAGGTCACAAGAGTCTAGCAGTAACTAAAAATCAGCTAGTAAAAAGCAAGGAAGCAAGTTGTAGTTCTGACTGAGGAATAGGCACTTATTAAAAATCTCTATATGTGCCGGGCGCCGGTGGCTCATGCCTGTAATCTTAGCTACTCAGGAGGTTGAGATCTGAAGATCACAGTTCAAAGCCAGCCCAGGCAGGAAAGTCCATGGGACTCTTATCTCCAATAAACCACTCAGAAAAACAGAAGTGGCATAGTGGTTCAAGTGGTAGAGGGCTAGCCTTGAGCTGAAGAGCTGAGGGACAGCATTCAGGCCCAGTATTCAAGCCCCATAACCGACAAAAAAATAAAGTCTCTTATATGTCAGCTCTCATGTAATATCTGATGTATAGTAAAAATAAGATTTGCAAAGGAAGTCACAAGTGTCAGAACCAACACTGAGAATGCACCTTTTTAAAACAACCATATCAGTTTTTCTTTTTCTTTTTTTGTCAGTTGTGGTGCTTGAACTCTGGGCCTAGGTGCTGTCCGTCCCTAAGCTCTTCAGCTCAAGGCTAGCATTGTACCACTTGGGCCACAGTGCCACTTCCGGTTTTCTGGTGGTTTATTGGAGATAGGTATCTCACCGACTTTCCTGTTTGGGATGGCTTTGAACCATGATCCTGAGATCTCAGACTCCTGAGTAGCTAGCCACTGGCACCCAGCCCTATTTCAGTTTTATATGTGACTCCTAACCTCCATGATCAAGAAATAAGCCATTAAATTTCAAGAATCAGAAGTGTTACAAGCTAAATTTATGATCAAAATGAAAAGAAAAAATTCAACATATCTAAATCACATGAAAAATATGTAATGTTCAAAATAAAGGTTCAGTAAAATGACTGGATAGGAAATCAGTACTTTTGGTCATGGTCCCATACATCAAATCACAAGAATGAAAAGAGAAAACAAATCATGTGAGGATCTTATTCCCCACAACAACAAGAAACATAGTAGTTAGAAATAAACATAGTTTAAATAGTATGAAAAATATAAACACACACCCCCCAGAATTTTATGAGATTGAAAGAATGTAAGTTTAAATAAATCAATATAGATTACATGTCTGAATAGGAAGAATAAAGTAAAAATGGCAATTATCCTCCTTCAATATAATCAAAATTTCATCTCAAAGATACATCCTTGGTCTTGAAAAACAATTCAAAGCTTACACATAAAAAGAAACATACACATAAAAAATTCAAAGTTTACACATAAAAAGAAACATGGCTCATATCTGTAACCCTAGCTAGTATGGAGGCAGTGATCAAGAAGATAGCAGTTTAAGGGAAAACTGGGCAAAAATTAGTGAAACCTCATCCTAAAAAACAAGCTACTTGTTGTAGTTCTTATTTGTAATGTTAGGTAGGAAACATAGGTAGGAAGAATGAGTTCTGGGGCAGGCCTTGGACAGAAGTACAAAACCCTTCTCTAAAGAAAAAGAGAGCTGAAAACCTGACTCAAGTGGTAGAGTTTCTGCCTATAAGGTCCTGTGTACTGAAAAAAAAGTAATATGAATGATAAGAACTGCCCAATAAGAGAAAATTAGAATAATTAAACAGACATAATGGTGGAGGAAGGGGAACAAAGGTACAGAGAAAGGATCAGGGCAGAAGAATTAATAATAGAGAAAACATTTATGTTTCTATATTGACAATTACACATTCTAATGAGAAATCCAAGCAAATCTGGAGAAACTTTTTAATTACTTGTACAGAGAGAATGAAGAATTATGGAATTAAGATCCAGGAAAAAACTAGGGATAGTTGGGGCAGATGCTGGAGTTCATGTTCCTTAAGAACATCTACTAATTCCAGAAAAAGCATCTGAAAGACTCAAAAATCTTACCCAATGTACAATGTCTCACAGACCTAGAAGCAAACTGTGGATGTGGGGTCTACTACAATGGAGAGGCCTGCATATAGCATCCTCATTGTGAACCGAGTCTGTCTAAAGGTATGAACCAAACAATAAAAAACTGAGTTTCAAGTCAGCTCAGGTCTAACATTGGATGGACACAATGGAAGCTGTTGCACTGCTGGAAGCTAAAAAAGGGAAATAAAATGGCAAGCATAGAGCCTATCTGGAAAAAGAACAAGCTGTTATGCGTCCAATTACAATCATCCTTCAGAATCCCGGAGGCCTGGTTCCATAAATCCCTATGATATCATATCCACGCTCAAGTTCCTTATGTAAAATTGCAGTTTTTGCAGATATCCTACACACATCCACATATAAACTTTCATCTCTAGAGTACTCTCAATACCAATACAAGGTAAATACCATGTAAATAGTTGTTCTTTAGGGAATAACAGCATGAAAAAGAACCTATGCCTGTTTCAAATATAAGTAATTAATTCTAAAATGCAATTTTGATCTGAAGTTGGTTGAAACTGTGGATCTGGAACTTCTGATATAACTTCCATCCAATATATAATGTTCATCTTTTCCATCCAACGCATAATCCTCAGGTATAACTATGAAGGACAGAGTTATTTAG